GCATTGCGTTTGCAAATGGGGGGGGGTTTGCGGCCCCCCCCAACCCCCCCACTCTTCGTAAACCCTCAAAGGAAACCCCAAACCTTAAACCCTAAACAGGAAACCCTGAACTCTAAAAGGTACGAGAAACCCTAAACCCGAAAAGGAAACCCTGAACCCTAAACGGTGAGGGAAGCCTGAACCTTGAAAGGAAACCCCAAACCGTGAACCCGAAAAGGAAACCTAAAAGGTAAGAGAACGCCTAAACCGAAAAGAAAATCCTCAGCCCTAAACTAAAGGGCAACCCTGAACCCTTAAACCCTAAAAGGACCTTAAAAGAAAAGCCTAAACCCAAAACCCTAAAACGAAACCCTAAACCCTGAAAGGTAAGAGAAACCCTAAACCCTCAGAGGAAACCTAAACCCTAAAAGGCGATGGCAAGCTTAACCCCTAAAAGGAAACCCTAAACTTTAACATGTAAGAGAAACCCTAAAGGGAAACCCTAAACCCTAAAAGGTAAGGCATAGTTTTTTTATCCCTATTTAATTTGTGTTTGATGCCTTCCGCCTCATTTTCCTATGGCTTCTACTACATTATACTAATTTAATTTTTTTGATCCTTAATTTTAATTTTTTTGACCCCGTGGGTTATTGTTTTTGATCCTTATTTAACTTTTTTGATCCCTCACCCCTACTTCGAGGAGGTGGAGAGGATCAGCTTTCTTCTTCGATTTCGGTTAATCCTCAGGTGTTGACATGCCATGACACACAGTCCCTTTGCATGTCGGATTTCCAGAGTTGTCGTTCACTTTGCATGTCCGACTTCAGGGAGGCCACCATCTGCAGGCCACCAGCAGCCGCCTTGGACACACAGAGACACAGACACATGCCGAACACGACCCCATGGAGGCTCAGCATGTTATTTCCAATCCAACGGCCGGTCCCGGATTGGAATCCTTCAGTAGCCCTAAGACCCCACATACCCGTAGGATTGCAGATCAGCGGTGGCCCACTGCTGCCGATGTTCGTATGCTAAGTGCACACTCCTGCGAGGAGATTGTTGGGAGTGGTCCAGGGTCGCCTGGTCGGGCCATTGTGCCCCCCAGACGTCGCATCATGCGAAAAAGCAAGGCGTGGCCCTCGCCGGTCCGATGCAGACGGCATCCCTCCCAGGAGATCGAAGGCGCGTCACAGAGCACAGGGGAGCAACAGTGTCTAGTGCTTCCGGAGGTCCAGCCTCTTGAGAACAGTACCAAAATGGATCCTCGAAAGGGCAAATCCTACTACAAATGCCATGACCACTACGAAGCAGTCTGCCACCTGTGTCCCAACAAATCCGTGCATCAGACTTCGGTCCAGGCGGCCTAAGCACACTTAAGACGTTACAAGCTAGCTCAATCCCCAGGCTGAACGACCCCGACCGGGGACACCCGTGCCACTGCAAGGCGAGTTGCGGCAGCTGCTTGAGGATCCGCTGAAGGCCAAGGCACACATGGATCGGCGACGAGCAGAGACCCTGAAGGATGGCGACATTGAGTCGCAGCCGGGGCCCAGCTCTTCCTCTCGCTCGCACCCTTTTCCTGTGTTCGCTGCCAACGTCAACGGCTACAGCAACGCCTTCGATGCCATCGACTTGGCTACGGTCGCGAGGCCACACGTGCTGGCCCTCCAGGAAACAAGAACATCGGAAGCCTCCGCTTGCAAGCTTGCTCATCACTGCAGTCGATTGGGGTACCGGGCTTGGACTGTCAGCAGACCTGGCGCTCCCTCATCCGCCTGTCTTGGGGGTCTTTTGCTGGCAGTGCGCAAAGACATCAGGGCCCACTTTGTCGACAAGACGATCCACGGTTACTTCGAAGCCATCACCATCGACCTTGAAGGCTTCTACGTCACCAACGTCTGGGAGAAGCCCCAAGGCGCAAGCGAGGACTCCTTTGCACAATGGGTTGGCCCGATCTTGAACGACTGTCAAACGACTGTCGGCTAAGTCGCAAGCTTTGGCTGGGCGTCGGGGATCACAACGAACTCCCCACCGACCACCCCATGATCGGAGACGGCGACGGCGAGGGTCTCTCATACCTTGCTGCTCGCAACGAGCTTGGGGAGCTGGAGCCCACTCGTTGGTCAGGGCGTCGTTCCATTGATTGGGCGATGGTGTCCGAGAAAGGGCTCCCTGGTGAGGCCTCTCTCGACGAAGCCTTTGTCGGTGACCATCGCTGCGCTTGGCACCGTGTCGACGTTCCCTTCGGCAAGCACACCGCGAAGGAACACATGCCAGCTGTCTCTCTCCGGAAGCCCGAAGGCGTTACGCAGCCACAGTGGCGAAAAGCCATCGAGGATGCCACGCAAGGCTTCGTGGACGTGGACCTCGGCGACACGGAGAAGGAGTGGGATTACCTCAACAGCGAGCTCCAGGCGCGCTTCGTGAAGGCGCTCCAGCTACTGAAGTGCGAGGCTCCGGGCACTCAACGTTGCCGGGACAAAGGCGCCCCTGTCAGGTGGTTTGCCGAGGGTCAGTCCGCTCAGCTTTGGCACAAGCAAGGGGCCTTTCGACAACGGCGGTTGGCCAAGTGGCTTGGACGAGCCCGGGAGGCTCAGCGACAGCGACGCCACGGCCGTGAATTTCGACCTCGAGGCGACTATCATGCGCACGTGGAAAGCCTAAACCCTAAAACGAAACCCTAAACCCTGAAAGGTAAGAGAAACTTAAAACTCTCAGAGGAAACCCGAACCCTAAAAGGTGATGGCAAGCTTAAACCCTAAAAGGAAACCCTAAACCGTAACATGTAAGAGAAACTCTAAAGGGAAACCCTAAACCCTAAAGGGTCAGGCATAGTTTAATTTTTTATCCCTATTTAATTTGTGCTTGATGCCTTCCGCCTCATTTTCTTATGGTTTTTACTACATTATAGTAATTTAACCTTTTTTGATCCTTAATTTTTGTTTTTGGGTCCTGTGGTTTAATTGTTTTTGATATTTGTTTAATTTTTATTGATGCCTCACCCGGTAGTTCTGCGTCTCTGCCTCTCTTTCTCTCTCTCAGTCTTACTCTTTATATTTTTATCTTTCTCTTTCTTTGTTGATTTCTTCCTTCCTTGTCTGTCTTCCTTCCTTCCTTGCTTTCTCTGT